TTCTTATTCTTATAAGTATTTGCTGGCTTAACCTGCTGAGTCATTTATATGATGTTGTTCACATGTATGGGGATACATGTGAAATATGACCCTGAGACATATGAATGACATTAATTTATTTATTAAGACCTACTCCGGTAAAAATAAGTTTCATTTACTTGTTAACATGTCCATATGGTGTTTTTTATATGCTGGAAGACATATCATGAGTGAAATATGCTGTCAGAGCCATGGCTTTGCATTTTAAACCTTGAAACTGCAATATACTGATGACTGTCACAAAAACACAGATTCAGACAGTCAGGGTTTCATACATCACAAACTTAAGGAAACAATCCTGTCATCTTGCAGGATGAGGCTTTTGATATCAATATTCTGCAGAAGCTGTTTGGACATGTATGGCTGAATAACTCCAATATTGTAGCTTGCCCTTGCATGGAGTAGTTTTGCAGTGTTTTAGCAGAGTTGTAGGTGAGCTGGTGTGCTTGAGAGGGGAGGTCCGCATGGAGAGGGAGGTGAGGACTGTACTGATACTAAAGCCTGTTTCAGACATGGACTGCTTCTTTTAATTTGATGGCATCTGAGCATGTTGGCTTCATGTCTGAATGAGTGCTCTGGTCACTTTTCTCTAAAGTTGAAATAACAATCTTACTCGGTCACACCAGGTTACATATCATTTTTATACCGGCACAGATCTTAACTGCAAGCACTTGCATTAACGGATAGGCACATACATGCATTTTAGTTGTGTAAAATGATTTGGGAAGGCTTTTTTTCCCCCCTGATTAGGGCTCAAAGCAAGCAACAGTGTAGACTGTAGAGGTAAATCAAAACCTTAGGAAGGCAGGAAGGGATCATTTTCAAGGAAAAAGCTTCCAAGATGTATTCTCAGTGTGCATTTGTGACCAAACTAGCTTCTCTTGTGTTTAGTATTAATTTGTAATCTTAACTCAATTGAAACCAGTGTGCAGGATATAGAGTTATCTGGTGCTGAACAGATTGCAACCAGCTGAATACCACTCACCTCACCCTTCACTTCCAAACATGTAGGAGGCCGCTAAAAGGAGCATAGCGGAAGAAAACCTGTTATCTCCTTAGATATAAAAAACTAATTCTAAGGTAATAAAAACACAGTTCCTTTTATCAGATGAATTTACAGTAATTAAAAGATACCTGTGGTGATTGTGTGTGTTTAGTGTATTTTTTGTATATGGCTGGCAGTTGTTTTGTGTTGTGGCTGGAGTTGTGCTCTCAGTTTTTCAGGCTGGACGGGGCCGCTTAGAGGAGGACGCTCTGCGCTGGCACAGCTGCAGCTCATCTCATCATTATGCGCTGGATAAAGCCACCGTTCTACCTGTGCTCCAGTGCCAGATGATTGTCAGCTCCACGAGAGGTACATTCGGCCGCTTAGCTAGTACATGCGTGTCCTGCTGAGTCATCTTCAGTTTATGAGTAACTGTATTCTCTTGTGTTCACCAGCGTCTCCTTCACCGGCTCCAGCGTCCAGCTTCTCCAGCTCGCTATGCCAGTTCTTCTTGTGTGTCCACGGAATCACGAGTTTTTCCCTTGGCATGAGCGCCTGCATGGGAAGATTGCCGCATGGGAAGAACGCCACATGAGCACGAGCACGTGATATCACTCGCCTGCACCACTGCGGCGACCAGCGCACCAACCCCGGATCCCTTCACCTGTCTCCCGGTGCCCCACACTCCCTGGTTTCCCTGAAATAAACATATATCCCTTTACCTTGTTCTCGGTTCGTTTTGGGTCCCGCACACGCTTTTGGCCACCAGCCATAACAATACCACTAAACAATATATTCATTTTCTGTTAACTGAGTCTCCTAAATCCTACACGCTAGACTGTCTCAGAACAAATTTCTATTTCTTTTAGAAGTGTAGTATCAGACTCCATGGTTCTTTCTGGGAAGCTTTCCAGGAAATTAGGAAATCAAAGAAATAAATCAGCACCAAACAACCTTCTCACTGCTTCGCATTGCCCTACAAAGTCGATGTTGTGCGTTCTTTGTTGCCACTCCTCTTTATTCACAACAACACAGCACAAGATGATTCACAGAAAAACATATATTTCTTGGCAGCACACTTTGCAGAGAGAACCACAGAGCTTCATTATAAAAAGTGACAAACCTTCCAAAAGAAATAAAAATATACAGATGGTTATTTTAAAGTAAGAACACAGAAGGGAAACAAGTAGCATGAAACACTGTCTGCTGTGAGAAGCTTGGTAACGTGTGGTATGGCACCTCCTGCGTGATGTTGTCGGTGCTGTTATGTTTCCGTGTCTCAGTGTTGTATGTGACATTCTGCACAATCTATTTAGTCCCATTGAGAAGGCCTTTCAGTGATCGCAGCCGAACAGCTCCAGAGACACTTTGTGCTGCTCAGGTAGAGCCTTGCTGGCCACAAACAGCATGACGCTCTCAAAGTGGTAGAAGTGGTTTCCTACGATCACTTTAAGTCCTGCAGGACCACACATGGCAGTGTCGACATTCTTGAAGAGGGCGATTGGACGCTCATTGCTTGCAACACGAGGGCTTGCCTTCATGTCCACGTCATAGATGTGATCACCTGGAGGACAGCAGGCAGGAAGACATGTGAGTGGATGCTGTACAAATGCATGAATTGTGTAAAGCTCAGGAAGGTAAAGCACTGATTTAAGTGTTTGTTTGGTGATGAAAAAACACCTAGATAAGAAATTAGATGCTTTTAATTTACAAGTGATCTCATGAGTGCATATAACTATATATATAACTATATGTGTGTGTGTGTGTGTGTGTGTATATGTATATGTATACACACACACACACACACCTATATATATGTGTGTGTGTGCGTGTGTGTGTGTGTGTGTGTATACATATATATACACACACACACACACATATATATATATACATATACATATATGTCATTTCAAGCATTTTAAAGGATTATGTTTCTTTGTGAATCAGGTCCTAACTACATACTGCCCTTAAAATGCTGTTTAAGCATTAGTTATATGTAACCACGCTGAGGCAAAATGTTAGTTTGTGATATTACAAATATGTCCGCTATCTATTTTATTGGCTCACTATCGCTCCCTTTTAACCAACTAATCGTATGTTAGATGAGGTGGGACTGGTTACCCTGACAACCATGAAAATGGAAGAAAGCTTCAAATATGTGGTGAAAGGGCAGATTTTAGGCCAAACTGATATTTTTCTAGGTCCAACCAAGTAATTTGTGCCTCACAAGAGAGTTTTTTTGTTCAGAAAGTGAAGTAGAATGACTTGGATTAAAAAATATTTAAAATCAGCTTTTCCATTTCTGTTGTCTTCATTCAGTGAGCTGTGAGTTCTCCCAGTAGAACCCTTATTATTCTTTTTGCAACATTTTTATCTGATATACCTTCATCTTTTCTTTTTCTTTTTTTTTTCATAAAGTTATTTCCTTGACCATATTGTCTTTTGCTGAGGTGAACTTCTATGAAGTCCTAAATGTTATTTTGACTGTACATCTACAGCAGTTAATTTTCTAAAACCTATACAGAATATTATTTGTAATTTTAGTGCTTTTAACTGCATAGGATCATCTCATCTCAAATAATAATAATCTGATTTGCTTTTTTTAAAAATTTATTTAGCATAAAATATAGATATGTATCAAAATATTTTTAGAACTTTAGCTTCATAAAAGCTATTATTAAATAATTTCTGAGAAAACCTTTTTTCAAAAATTGCCCATCAACCCGCCACTTTCAGCAGTTTTTTTTTGCACATTGAAATTTGAGGATAAGTTTGAGCGACCACCACTCAGCAACTATCAAAGATAAAAGTCTAAAATTTCTTAGCCATTATTTTTTTATTATGTCATTAAGTCAGAATCTGCAAAACTTGAAAAGAGGATCATATAATATCTGATTATGGGTGAGTTGAAATGTGAAATGCAGACGTCAACTGGTGATATTTTCTGAACCGTATGTAGTTGAATGTCACAATAATACAACACAAAACATACTATCTATCTATCTATCTATCTACAGCATTTTTCAGCATATACATATTTCATAAGCACCACTTTTCCCCCATAGTTTTTCAAAACAAAGTTTCAAACAAATCAGAGATGTTCCACCATTTCAAATGTATTAACCAACAGTCAAGTCATTCCAAAACAATCCTCTAGCTGAGTAAGGAATTGTCACCTCTTGCAGTCATGTTTTAAATCTGTTCATACCTTTGATGAAGTGAGCGATGTGAGGACCGTCCCCTCCGTCTCCACACATGAATGCAACGTCAATGTGACCCTCGATGCCCAGCTCCTCTTTCACAGGTTTGGGGTAACCGTCCACGAGGGTGTGGTTCTCGCCGACTTTGTAAACATATAAGTGCTCCTCCTGAGGAAAAAAATAAATAAATGTTGTGGTTTTTAGCCTCAAGGAAGAAGTAGCGTTAGCAGCAATAGCATGTGTATGTGTGGGTGGCTGCTTTTGGAGTTCACCTTGATCATGTAAAGATGATCATCATAAGAGAAAACAGCATCCACCTCACTGTGCAGCTCCTTGAAAGCGCTTTCGATGGTGTCGGCTGTCAGTGTGTCATTTCCCTCATCTTTCCGAAGAAAGTGGTGGTCTGCAGAATAAGACAATCCCTCTAAGATGCTGCAAGTGGTAACACCGTGAGAAAATTGCAATGAAACACAACCAATCTAACAAGCAATTCACCTGAGACTCAGCTGACAAAGATATAGTGAAACAATAAAACAGGGCTATAGATTGTGTTTAAAAAAAAACAAAAAACACTGACATATCCTCTGGATCTAAAAAGTGAAGTCAGCATGGAAGAACCTTAAATCTGCATTCTTTGTAATGGTCAGCAGGGGGAGACTCCTCTGGTTGCAACAGGAATCGTATTGTATAGAAATCTATGATAAATTACACTTTTTTCACTTGATTTGTTTCCTCAGTAAACATTTTCCCAATGAGTTTATGGTCTCACTTGCTAGTTTCAAGTCTCCTTCAATGGAGCATGGTGTTTGTTTTAAAATTATGATCCTGAATAAGCGTCAAATAATCGATACAACAGGATGTGTTAAGATAAGGTTTGGGTGACCTTGTGGCTGGCAGGTTGCTGCTGTATTGCACCGATCTGCCACGTGCTTGTTACATCCAGGTTAAAGAGACACTGTCACTATGTGCATCTTTTGACTATGACTTAGACTAAATGAAATGCCTGAACAGAGCTGACTGACAGTCCAAGCAGATGGTTCAAGATTTACCAAATGATTCAAACAAGATTCGAACCAACTATATTGGATCCAGGTGAGTTTGTGAACCAGTTCAACATTCATTCACCTCTACCAGCTATAGTGAACATCTGTAAAAATGCGTTTACTTTAGGGGTTTAACCAAAAATGCTAATTGCTTAGCTTCTACTAGCTGTTAGAAAAATGATTAAAAATAAATAAAAATAAAAAAATAAAAACCAATGTACAGATGTCTACATGCGGGGACTATCTAACTATATGTGTAATCCACTAAAACGTAGTCTGCAGTCACATCTTACCTCTGAAGGCGTACATGTTTCCAGCGTGGTCAGATGTGGCGGCATCCAGGTGAACACGGCTGCAGCGTTCTCGCTCCACGTGGTCGCTATCGTCACCTGAATGAAACAGATGCAAAAAGTCGGTTAAAGAAAATTGTTTTGACTTTGTCTTTGCTCAGCAAAAACTGCCTTGAACATGAGCAGAGTTATTTTATTCAATTCATTTCAATTCAGTTTTATTTGTATAGCGCATATTTACAACAACAGTCATCTCATAGCGCTTCACAAAGGCAGAGACAGAAACACCCAACAATCCAAAACATTTGGATTCCCTATAAGCTTCAGCAGTCTGCAAGCAGTCCACAACAGTGGGAAGGAACCGAAAACCCCCACAGGGGAATAAAAACCTTTGACAAAACCAGGCTCAGGGAGGAACGGCCATCTGGGTTGTCTCAATGCAATTTTATCATTGCTTTGCTCATACTAACAACAAAATAGATAATTCCTGGGAACAGTGAAAGCACAGCGCAACTTTGAAGCTGCAATGGTGTCATATTTGGAAGAAAATCTGTAGGTTTACTTTAAACAGGTGCTTTGCAGTGATTGTATAGAAATAATTTAGACAAAGGAAGGTAGTGAATAGAGTGAAGGGTGGACATAAAGGTATATTAATGACTTCAAACTTGACAAATTTCAAGTGATGGCTGATTAAATTGATGAAACTGATTTAGCTTACTGAACTTGGAGCATCTCATGAAGTAGTCACGTGCTTCTTTGGGATATTTGCCGTGAACCTCGCCGGTCTTCGGGTCAAACTTGGAGAACATGTGTCCATGGAAGCAGTAGAAGTGCTCCATGAAGCGGAAAGCAGATGTGCAGTTGGGCATGGACTTGAACTCCTTCTTATCTACAGCCTTGGTTCTAACGTTGTAGTGGTAGATGTCGTCTCCTGCAGGAAGAAAATCACACATTTAGGGTATTTTTTCGCAAGTTATTTTACAGATAGCTTTTCTGTAGACACTCAGGAATGGTTTTGGTGCAGAAGGTTGAAAGACTGAGTCAACTTTATGCTCAAATGCCCACATCCTTGTTGGATTAACTGTGAGAGACACTTTTTAACTACTCTAGATCTAGGAGTGTCCTCAAATAAAAGCCAAAACTGAGTACACATTCTACAAAACAAAACTGTCATTAATACAAAATGCTTTGTTTATTACGATCACAAGAGACCTGAATTGACTTTGAACCTCAATGAGAAAGACACAAGTCAGATAGCAGGGTTTTGTAGCCTACAGTAAAGTCAGGCTTCACAATAAAGGCTCTATCAGAAAAATCTGTGAAATCTATAGAACATAAAAGGGAGCAAAAATGAAAAAATGTTACTTCTATGCCAGCTTCAATCACCAGTCATATGTGTCAGTGTAGTTCCAGCTGCCTTAGTGATGGTAATTATCAAAGCATAATAAATACATTTTCTCACAGCAAGGTTGATACGCACTTACCCTTAAAGAAGATGACGGAGTCTTCTTCACACTCTGGTTTGGGACACTCCACGGCAGCATCCAAATGGTCGGGGATTCCAGGGAAGACCTCGGAGATGTTCTTGGGGTATCCATCCTCCAATTTGTGTTGGTAATAGCTGAACACCTTAGTGTCCTGCATTAAATGACCACAAGCATCAAGTTACACAGACAAGCTGTTCCACCTTGACAGTGGATTAATCTATAGTGACACTATCATAGAGTGTGGAGACTTTCAAAAAGGAGGTAGTTCTCTTCCTGCTCTCAACGAAGGCGAACGCTTTTTCTCTTGCTCCCTCCCGGCCCTTATCTGCCCTGCTTGCTACTCTTTGTCCTGTGCTGTCTTAGTCTGAATCTATCAGAGCCTCTCTCTGCATTTCACTTCAAAACTCCAAAACCTGAATCATGGATCTGATCAGCTGGTCTCTCAATGCAATTGATCAAATTTTCTCGACAAGAAGACTGGGCAAAGGAGAGCCCGCCTGCCCCGACGGAACGTTTGCAGCGGGATACACGATGGACTCCTGGCAGGAGTGGAGGGTTGTGTGCCTCTCTATACTTTCCGTGGAGGATGTTGAAGACGTCTACTTAATTGGGATCATGATAACAGGCTTCCTGCTGTTTGGAGTTTGCAGGTTCCTGCTTTATCGCAAAGTTGCTGCCCGTCATGGAGGGATTGCTTTGGGCTGTCATCTCTTAGACTAAAGCGATATGCGAACTTAATCGCAAACTGGAAGGGTTTCCAGAACTGATTCACAAGATGGGCACCAACTTGGAGCAGTTGAACAGCCAGATCTGGATGTAATGGGCCATCAAATTTGGCTTTTTTGGATCACAGAGAGAACCAGTGGGACTGACGGTAAATTGCAAGTCGGCCTGACCCAGACGATCTTTCTTTATCTTCATTTGGCTCTCCTGCTTCGGCCTTGGCCTTGAAAGGCCGATACCTCTACACTTATCCTGGATGTTATGCAGACAGATGCTCTGTCCCTCCCCTACCCTACTCCTTCTCCTGTGAACTTTGTTTCTGGACCAGAACTCTTCAAGGTGTCAGAGACACTGTTGAAGTCCATGGACTTACACATACACATACACGAAGACACCCAACACACACACCCCCCTGGACTCAATGCCTTGGTTGGCTCCCCATCCCCTCTCCCTCCCTCGTTACGGTGCAGGATGCTGTGGGCTGACGCGATGTGCCTCGTGGCTGCGCGCTCCCCCCAGTGTCTGAGCTGTGACACCTGTGACACGTCCCCTCCCCAACACACTCCCCCCTCTCACACGTGCAAGTCTTCATCAATAAAGGCTCATCTTATTCTTATTCTTATAAAAAAAATCTTTAAATGTCTTTTCAGAACTTGTAATCCCTCCTAATTCACAGTATTGTCCCGTCTTCCATACATGCTCTCTTTCGTCAGCCTATAATTATATAAACCTGCTTCTGCCCTCTATCCAGACTATTTTGTTGTCTTTCTGCCAGCTTTGTGTTATTGCCCCCCTCTGGCCTCTTTGGTCTGCTGCGTGCCTTTTCTGCTTGTTTGCCAAACTCTGCTGTGATTTCAAAACGTAGTAAAACTCAATGCAACCGTACTAAGAAGAAGAACATGTGGTCGTGGTCGGCGGCATTGTCCTCGTAGTGCATGCGGAAAGCAGCATCCACATGGCCCAGGTGGTGATGGTCATCCAGCTCAGCGAAAGACCCATTGGACAGCTCTGCTTTTCCATGAAAGCCTTTGAACAGATGGTCACCTGGTAGGAAATACAGGAGTCTTTAAATAGAATAATAAACATTTACTTCCGCAGTAGATTCATGCAGTGAAACCAGAGCTTGTTAAGATTTTACTCAAAGCGACACATAACTCTGTACAATCAATCTGTAATGTCCTTCAAGAAACCTGAGCTGAAATAAGTCATCATTTGAGTCAGTATGAAGGGACTCACCCTTGAAGAAGTATGGGATTCCCAGTTCATTCACTGCAACAGCATCCATCTCAAGACCCTGGCAACGGTCAAGAATGTCTGCAGAATATCATAGTTATGTAAAGTCATTTTTAAAAAGTTCTGATAAGAACTAATAACACATATGATGACTAACATTTGAATCCAATCGATCAACTCACCTGCTGCATGGCCTTGCCTGGTTGAATAGAACAGAGAAAAGAAATTATTATTTCAGATTTTCACTTCATATTTGCAGAGAATAAGATGCTTCACATCTAGAATTTTACATGCAATTTATGAAATGTAAACAAGTAAAATCAAGAAATGCACTTGAAAATTCACAAGAAAATATATTTTTTGTATGAGTGTTATACACAATAATTATAAATGTGACTGCAGTTTTTGTATTTTTACCCAACCTTACACTAATCTTGCATAGCCAGATGTGTATCGCTGTTACTCAGACTATACTGTGTAAAATATTCAAACCCAAGATATTATAGTTTGAAGGATGCACTATTACATCAACTGAAAAATGCTTTAGATGTCTTCTGAATTTTTTTACACTGTCTCTAAAACCTGACGCTGTACCTCCAACAAAGTCTTGAGGATTTAAAATAAGTTCATTTAAAGTTTACATCACTGCTTACTAATTTTCAAAGTATGCAGCAGTATTTTCATTTTTATTTGCATTTTAGATTTCTATTAGCAGGCAACAGTAGAACAGTAGCATTGCATGATATCTACTGTAATGGATAGCATGACAAGCACAAATTTTCAGCCTTGACTGATAAAAATGCAACTATCAACTGACTGAAAGAACCTTCAAATGTTTTTTTGTTTGTTTCTTTGTTTCTTTGGGTGAAGCACAGGACTACTTACATATCAGCCAATGCCAGAGCAAGAGCCAGGCAGAGACCCAGGATGTGGGCGAGCAGCTTCATTTTGACGTTTTCTCTGGTCCAGGAGCTGGGCAAAAGGTACAGAGGCTACTGCCGCATCTGTTTATATATTAGTCCAGTTTACTTTGTCATGGTGGGTACCAAAGGAGGAGGAGTGGCTGATGTGCAGAAGCAGTAGGTTCAAGACGCCCACGATATTTGATGTGTGAGCTGCACCCCAATCATCACTGTTCAGAGCAGTTACCAGGAAAGAGAGTCCTGGGGTAGCAGGGATTCATAGAATTAGACACGTTCCCTTTTCACTGTCAAAATCTAATCAATAGATGTGTATCTTATGTAAATGAGTGATACTTCGTCTTAATGCATGCACACTCCATCATTTATTTGTCACTTTCAAAGCATGAACAGACAGGAGACTTTTGCAGCACTGTTTATACATTTAAAATCAAATGTATCTGTGGCAGCAAAGAGCTGTTATCACCAAACTATTCATATGCTTTCTTTTGCTTCATGTCTATTTATTTTTATTTTTTTTAAAGGCTAACTAGCTGATGTAATATGACAAAGAAAGTTTTAGTTTGTTGAGGTTTAATAACTATTTAAACAAGAAATGGCATTTGCAGAAACTTTACAGTACCCATAATTGTTTATTTATATTATTTTGCATTATAATATGCAGTTTATGGAGCTGCTTTCATCGAATCTGTGAGAAATAGATTCCAGAATGTCCCACACGTCTGTTGGATCATTTGCAGCGTGAACCCAGTCCAACTCTGAGAGGTAACTAACCCAGTGCCCCTGCAAAAATAAATAAAAACTGCTGACTCCTGCACTTTACAGTTCTCAAAAAAAATAAAGTTGTATAATGTTTTTTAGGTGAACATTAACAGAGAATAGTGGGTTACTCATCAGGAATATTTAAATTTGTGTGGGCTGCATCTACATGCGTCCTTGTGAAAGTTAGGAATGTAAGAAAGACAAAATTTGAAATCAGGTCATTTGTTAAGAGTAAATACAAAAGAAAAAATACAAGGGCAACATATTTGTCACAAAAAAATCATACATTTTGATTATTTCATACATATTATATGGAAATGACAAATCTGATAGGCCAAAAATAAACATACAAGTTGATTTGTTAAGTGGAATTAATCAAATTATCTTAGTGGCATGGCCTCTTGTCTTCTTGTCAGTGGTTACGAGTGACTACAGCTGTTCCTCCAAGGCGATTAAAATAATTTGATACACAAATTAGACTCAGCCACAAACACTACAATTTGAAAATCTGAGAAGCTGAGTACAGATTTGAAGATGCAAATCATTGAAAGCCATTTCAAAGCAGTCACAGATCCCAAAATTACCTTTGCAAACAATTGTTTGTAAATATAATTGCATTCCACAGTTGTATCACTGTTACAATCAGGAAGAAAACAAAAACTATCACCTGCTGCTGAGAGACAATTGGTCGGGATGGTCAAGAGTCAAAAAAAAAGTCACACAAAAGCAGGTCTGCATGAATCAGAAGCTGCTGGAACACAGCTGTCAGTTTTCACAGTCAAGTGTGTTTAGCATTACCATGGGCCATGCAAGAAAGAAGCCCTTCCTTCAGAAAGACTAAGGCTTGACTGAAGTAAAAGGACTTGTGGAGGAAAGTTTCTGGTCAGATGAGACAAAAATTGAGCTATTTAGCCGTAATGACAAAAAATAGTTTTGAAAGACTTAAGGGGAGGACTTTAACCCCAAGAACATCATATCTCCCATCAAGCATGGTGGTCGCAGCATTATGCTCTGGGGCTGTTGTGCTTTACAAAACTGGTGCTTTACACAGAGCAAATAGAAAAATGCAGAAGGAGCATTATTATTCTACCAGACAATAACCCTAAACACACACATAAAAAACAAAACAAAAATGGCAATAAAAATGGGTGAAATCAGACCAGAATTGATGTTTTAGTCTGGCCTGAAAATGTAGTTAAACTGCACCAATTCCATAAAGAGAAGTAGTCGAAGATACAACCAGAAGCTTGTGAACGGCTACCAGAAGTGCCTAGTTGAGGTGAAAATGGTCAATGGACATTTAACCAGATATTAGAATTGCTGTATATATATTTTTGATCCGGGAAATTTTCTATATTTCCAGGAGATCTATAATAATCTATAAAAGAACCACAATATATGATTGTTTTTTGTGACGTGTCATTTGGATGAACTGGCCCTCCGAATAATTTTTAATTTTATGACTCAGAAGTTACCTAAAAACTTTATTTGGTCATTCGAGGATGGCGGCAGCACAGCTCAGGAGTTTCTTTTTTTTTTATTGGTACCCATTGTAGAAATTTTAACATCTCCCTGTATTGCTTTTCATCTCATCATCCAGCAGTCTATTTCTCTATCTCCTCCCATCCGTTCCCTGATGCTCTACCTCCAGCCATGCATTTCACGCTCTTCTTTTATCTTCTCCACTATCTCTCTCCGTCCAGTAAGCTTTACCTTCAGCTTTTTTTAAATACATTTTTCCTCTTGGCCCTTTCCACTTTCTTTCCATCTCTTTTCCTGCAAAGAGTTCAAATATGGGTTTCCTTGCATTGTAAAATAGATTATTATCTTGAGATTCATCATTTCATGTTGGGATGGTAACAATGATGGTCACATGAAAGAAGTACAAAGAAAGTGATACACATTTTAGTAAAAAGCTGCATAGCCTTTTCACCTCCCTACAAAGTGAAATAAATGTTTGTTGTAAATGGCTGTCAGTGGTTACGCATTTGCCATATTGAGGTAGACAGAACTACACAAACAAAATGAGTCTCTGTTGAGCAACAATTCTGCATAAAGGTCTGTACACACATCACTGACTAAGGGCGAGGCCTTAACCTTGGCTGAAGCATACAATGCTCCAAGTCTGTCACGTTGTGCACGTACCAGAAAGCAAAAGTATATTTTCAATAAACAGCAACAACATCTTGTTTGAAAAGTCACTGCAGGACAAATGTTGATCGTCACATTTAACGTTTGTGTTTTTGTTTTTTTCTTGTTTTAGGAATCAACTGATAATTGTGGCTATTATAAACCCAAAAGTTAAATGAAATAAATCACTAATGAAAAAATGTGTGTGAAACTTGAATTATTGTAATAAAATTTCCAGGTCAAACATTCAAACATTTGTTTGATGCACATTTCTCTTTAGACAGATGGCTTCTCATTAATCTGATGTATAATCAGAAGCTTTTTGCCCTTACTAAGCACTGTGCTGCACCTCATTACATTTAAAATAAAATAATCAATACTACATGGCAGTACTAAGTCTTAGCTTTAATTTGAATAGATCTACATCAATATTAAAAGAGTTTGTTGAGATATAGAGTCCCCAAAGTCAAAAGCAACTGGATTCTAAATGTATCTTTGGCAGCTCTGTGTCATTTTAAAATTAGCTTGTGCACAATGCAGCTTCTGAAACACCTTAGAGGTCATCAAATATTGCCACTTTGTTGATGTGTGGTTGTTTGTGAGTATGACAAGTAAAGAGTAGGGCATGCCAGGGAAGAAGATAACAAAACAAAACTCTATCAGTAAGATATTTAGCCTAAATCAACAGTTGAAGCCATAAAACAAAAACCAAGCTTGATCAAATGACCAGCTCGTGATCCAGAAGCTTTCTCTTTTTTCTGTCAGGGTCATTCTGTTAGTGATTGGACGTGTGTGGCTGCCAGTGGAACTGGCACTACAGTATTTATTGATTTCACCTCTGGGTTGAGCAACTGGATGAATTTAGAAGAGAATTCTAGGAGCTCAGAATCAAATTAAATGCATGAAAATGCCATCATTCAGCAGAACGACGATCCTACATCCAAAACAACAAAAGTGATTTTCAGGGTGAAATATCGACCAAGTTACATTACACGTGCTGAAGACCAAACTAAAGACAGAGACTCCATAACAAGTTAGGCAGCTGCAGAAAAGATCTGAGTGCATCGCCACATGTGGAAGACATCAAATATTTCACAACATAATAAGTATGATGATATTAGTTGACTTTATTTGTATCTGTTCACTTAGTTTTCAGATTCAAACTCTAAACTCCCCTTTTTGTTTGTTTTGTTTTGTTCATAGGGCTCTATCTCGCACCCTTTTCTTCTGCTTTTCCTTTTCTATCCAACTCAAATTAAAGCTGAGACTTTAACGTGGTATCCATTGTCATTTCCGCTGAAAAACAAACTAACAAAAAAAACAAGCCTGAAGAACAAAAAATGTGGAGCTGTCCAAATGCAGTCTGGACTGTATATTTGTCTCTTCAGTAGTCGAAGAATTAACTGAGCTAATCTTGCTTTAAGAAAACCTCCGTAAAATTTTAGCAATATGAAGTATAGCTTTTCAACTTTCTGACTCCCTGCCAACATGCGTAAGGCTTTTTGCAGATGAAATTACTGTGTTCAACACAGTGTGACCTTCACAGAGCAATGGAATGTCTTAGGAAGTCTGAAGTTATGGTTCTCTGCTGAAAACCAATGGATTGCTCCTTCTGGGTTGGAGCAAAGTTGCTGCCCAAAGAAAACGTTGCTGGGATGAGTGATGTCTAGAATGTCTTGCTTACAAAGCTGCCACCATGACCGCAATGAGGCGCTTCCACCTTGGCTTCGCTTTCCAGACCTGGAGACTATACCCATCATTTAGATACAGTCTATGGTTTTAGCGAACCTTTTAATCTGTTTTGCACTGATCCAGCCCCTTTGTTTCATTCTCTGTATAAAAGTGGTTGTTTATCTCTGAGTGGCTGCTCTGCAGACATCTAGAGACAAAGCAAGCAATAGCAGTGAGAAGTTTTACATCATTTTCTTGTTGTTTGCTCTAAATGTCAACTTGCTACAGGCATCTGTACTTGTTTGAACCTGATTTCAGTTGAAAATATGCAAATGCTCAATGCTAATAATGCACTGATGAAACAAAGTGAAGGTCTCAGAACAGACTGGAGTTTGTGGGTATGTATAACAATCCAACACCTGTTTAATGAAAAACTCAACTTAGCTTTACAAATAGGAAGTATGATCAGTGTAACATAG